AATTTAAGGAGGTGAGATCTGATTAAAAGCTACAGTATCAGATCTGAGAAGTAAATGACTATTAGGTGTATAATAGTAATTATCAGGACTGTAAAAGTAGGTGATTATTATCAGAGACGAGAAGTAAATGATTATTAGGTGTATAATAGTAATTATCAGGACTGTAAAAGTAGGTGATTATTATCAGATCTGAGAAGTAAATGATTATTAGGTGTATAATAGTAATTATCAGGACTAATTATCAGGACTGTAAAAGCAGGTGATTATTATCAGAGACGAGAAGTAAATGATTATTAGGTGTATAATAGTAATTATCAGGAAGGTGTATAATAGTAATTATCAGGACTGTAAAAGTAGGTGATTATTATCAGAGACGAGAAGTAAATGACTATTAGGTGTATAATAGTAATTATCAGGACTGTAAAAGTAGGTGATTATTATCAGAGACGAGAAGTAAATGATTATTAGGTGTATAATAGTAATTATCAGGACTGTAAAAGTAGGTGATTATTATCAGAGACGTAACTGCAGGGCTCTTCTTCTTAAATCAGAAAATCCAGATTCAGTAGAAATAGGGTAAAGCGGTAGGAGGACAAATAGCCTCCCGTCCAATGGTTCTCAACTGATGACTAAAAGTTGGCCTCACTTGCTTTAATTATTCTATCCTTTGATGCTGCTTGAAGAACTGTGCTTTACCTCTTGACTAGTTTGCTTGTTTATTCAGTATTTTTCCTTGTACAGGTTCTCATTTTATTTAAAAGCACGCAAAGCTCTTAATTTCTAAACTGTTTTTGCAATTTTCCTTCCAGTTATGAGCCAGAGTTATTTCCTGGTTTAATCTACAGAATGATCAAACCCAGAATTGTTCTCCTTATTTTTGTTTCTGGAAAAGTCGTATTAACAGGTAAGTTGTAACAGGAAGTAGTATCTGAATGTTTGTGTTTCGAGTATGGCATTTGCTCAGTGCTGAAAGGAAATTTCAGTGTTGGGACAGTGGGCTAGCTTCTTGCACAAAGGCCTCCCACCCAAGTCTTATGAGAAACGTGCCCACTAAAGGCACAGTGAGAGCGGGGAAGTCTGACCACAGCCCTGCAAGCAGGTTTCCATTTACAGTGAGGAGGTGAGCACTGCATTGAATAGAAGATGGTGTTTTCACTTGGAATTAGTTATCTGAAGCTTTACGATTCTTCAGCAATATGATTATGTGACAAGAAAGGAAGATTCAGAAAAGAGCTTAGTTGAAGGCAGCAATTGGGAGAAAAAGATTCGGTTGTTATTGCCGTCCTGCTTAGTTTAGGGCCTGGTTCAGGACCAGGAGAGAAGTGTGAACACATGCCTCTTGAGCTATAGAATGGACGCGAGATGTTGGAGTCACTAAGATGATTTTTTAAAAGTATTGTTTATAAACAAAAATAAAACATTGGGGGGTGACAAGGGGTTCTACCATTAATGTTTTCATGCTTGTGCCTTAATCTGACTGGGTATGGTGAGAATTGTGCTTGCAGCTTTAAGGTAATAATAATTTTACCTTCTTAATATGTTAAGAAGTGCCATTTCGGTCTCTTATCTCTACTTCAACTTGTCGTCTTAGGTGCTAAAGTCAGAGCAGAAATTTATGAAGCATTTGAAAACATCTACCCTATTCTAAAGGGATTCAGGAAGACGACGTAATGGCTGTCATGTACCCTTGCCTCCCCCACCCACTTTTTTTTTTTTTTAAACAAATCAGTTTGTTTTGGTACCTTTAACTGGTGGTGGTGTGAGAAGATGGATGTTGAGTTGCAGGTTGCGGCACCAGGTGATGCCCTTCTGTAAGTGCCCACCGCGGAATGCCGGGAAGGGGCATTATTTGTGCACTGAGAACACCGCGCAGCGTGACTGTGAGTTGCTCATACTGTGCTGCTATCTGGGCAGCGCTGCCCATTTATTTATATGTAGATTTTAAACACTGCTGTTGACAAGTTGGTTTGAGGGAGAAAACTCTTAAGAGTGAAAGCCACCTCTACAATTGATTGGACTTTTTAATTTTAATGTTTTTCCCCATGAACCACAGTTTTTATATTTCTACCAGAAAAGTAAAAATCTTTTTTAAAAGTGTTGTTTTTCTAATTTGTAACTCCTAGGGGTTATTTCTGTGCCAGACACATTCCGCCTCTCCAGTATTGCAGGACAGAATACATGTGTTAATGAAAATGAATGGCTGTACATATTTTTTCTTTCTTCAGAGTACTCTGTACAATAAATGCAGTTTATAAAAGTGTTAGATTGTTGTTATGATACCTTGTAAGAGTCATGTGATCATACTGTTTTCTAAAAAGTTGTATTTTAGATATAATGCCTGAAACCATTTTGGTGTCTGCTTGTTTGTTTCAGTCAATATTTCATTACATGCTTCAGTGAAAGCAAATTAATGATCAGAACTCACAGTTGCTCAGGAAACGTGTATTTATTACCTTCTATATATTGAGCAACTCCTGTTTTCTAGGCACTTTCCCTGTGGTGCCTGGAATCCTCCTAGAGCTGCAGTCGGGTTTTGTTCCTCTGTTGGAGACAATGGCCCCGCTGAGGGGCTTGGCTGAGGTCACACAGTTAGTAAGTGGTAAAAATTAGTGGGTCCTTCAGGTGTAGAAGCTGATGCCCTCTCCACAGGCTGCCAACTCTCTGCAGTAACTTTTTTTTGCTTGTTTTGCAGTTTTTTTCTCATGGAATATCAGGTGGACATTTGTGGGTTCTTAGGTTTCATTGTTAGGGTGGTTTTTTTTTTTTTTTTTTTTTAATTGTAAAAGTACATCTTCAGGTGACTCAGGAATAAAATCAGAAAGGGGAGGTCCTTCCTTCCTTTCTCTTCTGCCTCTTTCCCCAAGATAATGACCAGATTAGTGGGTATCTTCTAAGCCCATTCTGTCTATCCTCTGGGCATGGCATTTGATCCCATTTTTGGAAAAAAATGATAGAATACATTCAATTGTAGAGCTTTCCCTTTTTTCAGTCAATATATCATAAACCTATTTCCATGATTGGGAATCTAGGATGCTCTTGTTAGGTACCTTCACTTACTGAGCTATTCCTGTAATTACAGTCATTGACATGCCCTCCAGTTTTCCAGTATCATAAACAGCGCTGCAGGGACATCCTTGTATGTGTGTTTTTTGGAGAGTGCAGGTGTTCACGTAGTAAACTTTCCTGGAAGAAGAACTAGACTACACATTGTAAGTTTTAATCAGTTGATACCAGATTGCAGTCCAAAGAGAACGGCGTATGAAATGCCCTTTTCTTGCGTTTCCCAGTCATTAGTGATGCCAATAATGTATGGATTAACTGGAAAGGCATCATTCCAATATTATCTCCTATCTAAGAAAGAAGTATCCCTTCGGGTATGTAGGTCTTATGTTCCTCAGTAAAGTTTTACAATCTTTTTCACACAGGGCTTTTATATTTCATAAGTATTACTTCCTTAAGATATTACCATTTCTGTTGTTTTATTACTGGAAGTTTCTCTTAACACTTTAAAATTTATTGTTGATAAATTTTTGTCAAAATTTATTGTTGATAATATTTTTGTTATTCCAAGTTTACTGAACTCCTATTACTGCTGATTTAGTTGATTGCATTGAAAGTTCTAGGCATGTAATCATTTGTAAATAGTAATTCTATGTTTTCCTTTCCAATATTTTTCCTATCAGTGCCTAGGACTTTAATGTATATAACTTAAAAAAAATCATCTCTTATAGTTGTAGCTACATATACAGGAAACCTAACAAATGTATAGCATAATGTATTATTCAAAGGTAGATACCCTTGCAGCCACCAACCAGGTCAAGAAACATAATTTTGCTGCCTGTCCTAGAAGCCCCTCCTTATGGTCCTTCCAGACACACACTCCTGGCTTCCCTCAAGCAGGAACTATTATCCTGACTCTCACGCATTTAAAGATAATTGAAGTTCCTTATCCATTTCTTTTCTTTCCAATTTATAGGCCATTTAGTGTTTAGAGCTTCTCATAGTCTGGGGTTTGCTAGTTGGAAATTCATGGTGTAGTTTCCCTATTCTCTGTATTTCCTGCAAATTGGAAGCTGCCGTGTAATTCCTAGATCTATTAATTCATTAGTGGGTTGCAAAATGACATTTTAGTCATTTCTTTTTCATTTATTAACGTGAATACTTTTATAAAAGGATTATACTCCATATAACAGGATAAATACTTGCTTCTTTCCCTTTTTAAGTTTTCAAGATAAAATGATTTCACATTAATATGTCCAATTGAAAGCTCACAGGGTTTTTATTTAACCAATTCTATATTATATATACTCTTTCTTCTACAATGAGAATTTTATTTCTTAAAGACACAGGGGATGAGGAATTAGAATGTCCCATAATTACTCATTTACTTTACATATTTACTTTATCATTACTTTATCTGTTATATGTGCAATTTTTTTTGAGACATGATCTCACTCTGTTGCCCAGGCTGGAGTGCAGTGGCACAATCATGGCTTGCTGCAGTCAAACTCCTGGGCTCAAGTGATCCACCTCAGCCTCCCGAGTAGCTAGGACTACAGGTGCACATCAACACACCCAGTTCACTGTTTTTACTTTTTGTAGAGACAAAGTCACTCAACTGTTGCCCAAGCTGGTCTTGAACTCCTAGGCTCAAATCATCCTCCCACCTCCACCATAAGATTCTTAAGAGTAACAAAAATACTATCACCAATATGATTGCCAAAAACACTTAAAACTGTTTTTTTTTTTGGCTGTACTATCTGAAACTGTCAAAGGATATTTAGTATCTGAAATAAAAAGGCAAAGCTGAATATGCTGCTCTCTACAGCAGAGGAGAGCTGCTGTGGCTGGACAGTATCTGAACCAAGCAGATCTTAAAACTTTGTAGGTATTGAGAAATGGTGGATGCATGGACAGCACTGTCTGTGGAGCCATGATTACGTAGGTGAGACTTCTCCTTACCTTGTGTTTTAAAATGTCTTCACGTTTCTAAAGGCAACTTGCTTAATGCATTTTTTAATTTAAATTTTTTATATTGTACAGTTTATTTTTAATATAGTTGCTATTTTTTAACACAGATGCCCAGTCGGTGCTGTGACATTTTCTTTCCAGTGATTTGGACCAGTTTGTCTCCCTCTTGATATACCTGTTCCAAACGGAAAGGCCCTGTAAACTTTTAGGATCATCTCTGGAGGTTGACTGGAATAAACACCAATGACAGCTTGGCTGAGTACGCCAAAATACCTGCAAGAATGTCCATATCAAGTAACAGTTTTTACCACAGAAAGACCATAACATGTTTGCTTTAAAAGCCCTTAGCATTCATAACGTACTAACACATTCTGCCTATGCAGAATAATACATAATTTTAGATATGAAGGCCCCACTAGTCCAGGTTTCCTTACGCCACTGTGCTTCCTACTAAGTGTTGTGACCAACTCGTCACTAGTTGATGACAACTTACTCCAGTAGCCACAGGCTGACACCATAGTTATAGGTGGTTCTCATTGATTTGGCCATCCCAGGTTCGAAACTAGTACCCTCTAGCTCTTAAGTAGCCTAGTGTCAAACCTCCCCATGGGAGAAACTCCATACTGCAGTTTTCCATATGGTGCTATGTATAACTGCATCTTACACACACAGTTAGTACAAATTGCATATACATACTTATATAATACGGACTACTAGGACAGAAATTTCTAAATTACAAATCAAATAGCCAAATGGACAATTATATTAGCAAGTGACGTTACCTATGAAAACGTGAGGATTTATGGTGGCAATGCATTTCAGTTAACAGAGATGTGTTAGGGGACAATGTGAGCCAATTTAGATTAAGGAAATAAGCCTGAGAAATTGATCAGAATTAGCCGTCAGTATTCAGGCACTGATCAACAGCAATGTGTCCTCAGGGCAGGCATCACTGGTGCTGAGATAACTGGGAATTGTCAAGTGTGAGCTACTAGGGGATGGAAGGAACCTTAGTGTAGTCTTCGGAGCCACTTGCTTAAACAAATATATCAGAAACATAATAGGCCAAGGGTCAGCCCTTTGAAAACTGACTTCAGGGCCCTTTCTTCAGGCTGCTGCCTCCTAGGCCAGACCCTTATCCTGGCTTACATTCCATAAGCCTTGTAAATGCGACAGGGAACATATGTACAACGCTGACATGGAAAGGGAAGACCATCGCCTTTTGCCTTTCAGTGTCTCATCTGTCAGCAGGGCCACTGGCTGACGAAGATCGGTTCTGAAGGTAGAGCCTCTTCCAGTTCCAGTTCTGTGATCACAAAGCCACTGTTCCTGATCCTGCCAACTGTGACACTGCTGCTTCAGAATTACTGGGTTTCCTGTTTCTCATACTCACCAACCTGAGGTTTGGCATTTTTCTAATGTTCTGGGCTTCCAGTACATACTAGAGCCTGTGATAATCAGCTAATGATCAGACAAGTTTGTTGGAGTTTTACCTAAGTATTTTTCTTTGTGTTTTAAAAAACTTAGGGTGGGAAGTGCTCTCAGAGTGAGATAGTTTGACTTCATTAGGCACATAACCCATTTTTATTATAAAAAGAAATGCACGTATAAGTAAAACGATCATTTTAGTTAGTCCCACCATTCGTTGGTAACCAGTGCACTAAGTGTACATCTTTGCAGATTTCTGTGCATACATACAAATATTTTTACAAGAATAGGATCAAACCACGAATACCACCTATAATGGTATCTTGGTTGTCAATGTAGGTGTTATAATTAAGACTGTGTAGCCTTCCACGGTGGATGTACCAAAATTTATTTAATTCTCCGTCAGTGGACACTTTTGTTTCAGTAATATGTAGACACTGTGTAAGCAATCTCTCAACATCTCTGCACCTTTATTTTTGGTATAAGTATTTCCTTAGGATAAAATCTCAGAAATGGAATTGCAAGGTATAAAAGAGCATTAACATTTTTCAAGGCTTTAAGATGCCTTTACGGTGTATCTGTTACATCCTGCTTCCACACAAATTCTTCTGTATAGCCAGTACCCAAGCTGCAGCTCTCAGCACACGTGAAGACAGCCAGGATGCCCCAGTCAATGCTCTTGCCCAGTCTGTCAGCCTTCAGGTAGTTTAGGAGCTGAGGCATGACCTGAGAAGAGGGTGACACACAGTTAGAAAGCCGCTTTACAGCAGGGAGCACTGCTTTTAAGAGACCTTCTCAGCCAGGATGATTATAGGAATCTTGGTCTTTCGATCCTCATACTACAAAGCAGGATTATAGACATTATACAATTAACATGTTTTAACAATCTAAAACTTCCTTATGACTTCAAAGCCCCTCTCACCTTCTGTTTAGTGTTTTCCATTTGAGAAAGAAGTTCACAAGTGGCTGTTAATAAATTATTTTCATTACTGATATGCCACTCAAAAGGGCTGAGGCTTCTATTTAGGCAACTTTTACTTTGTATCATTGCAGATATTGTTACTCTTGACTCAAGAAACACTAATTACTAGTCATGAATACAAAAAGGACATCTGTCAGTGTAGTTATAGAGACCAGAGAAGAATCTTAGAAGTAGTCTAATTGAAAGAGTGAATAGGCAGAATAGCCACCATCCTGTCACCTCATTTTGGACCCTGAGAGCTCTGGCACTAAGAACCAAGCAGAGTTTTGGTTATGGTCCTCATAATTCCTTTTTTACCCAAAGAAACAAACCAATACTAGCTATGACTTTGGGAAGATTAGTGAATCCACAGCTCAAGAGCATTTCCACCCAAAATGGATTTTGGTATTTTGATGCTAACAGATCCTTTTGGGCAGGGGGGCACATTTATCTTTAATGCTTATATCCATTTGTTCTAACAAATCCACAAACCAAGATTAAACAGTAAAGACTCCTCTCATAAAGTATGGAGTCAAAGACTTCAATTAATGGAACAAGGAAGGTATAAATTATTTAAAATAACAAAAGTTAACAGAGGCACTAACAATAATGACGTAACCACACTGGAGGTGAGACAGTGTAGATACACTCATCTTCACAGAAGTCAGTCAACAGACAGTGTCTGAAAACTAGGAAACAGAAAAAGACAAGACAGTTCCTTCCAGGGAACTAGCCCCAAGGTGAGGCAGGAAACTGACGGTTTTCATCATAGGCCACCCTTCCGTACTGCCATTGGACCCATGTGCACAAATTACCTTGGCGTAGTTTTTAATGTTTAAAACAATCATGGTGATTACACACTAAAATCGTCCTTATTTAGGTCATACCTGGAATTCCAATATTCTCTTGGCACCACAGGGGCAATCTGGAATATCCTTTTCTTGAGGAATATTTTCACCAGAAATCCAGATGGGGGCAATACCTCTGCCATATCTAAGAATCTAAAATCAATGAGGATCATGTTCAAATAATCAATACCTTACCTAAAAGTTTCCAATGGTAACATGCTATCTACTCCATGAATGTTCCTACTCTTGATGTAGCACTGACCCAAAAGGCATGTCACAGTTCCTCCATCAGACCTGGCTGTGCCAGTGTGCCATTAATGCCTTCTCAATACCCCCAAAGTGACTATTTCAGCTTATCTGACTCAGAGGGCATCAAAATATATTTCCTAGATGATGCTTTTACTACCTAATGTTGGAATGTTAGTCCTATGAATATATTGTGAAGGGACTAAGAATGAGCCTCTGCTCTGATTGCAGAGTTCTGCCCAGAGTCTGTCCCTGCCTTCATAGTTAAAAAATTTTAGGAGGGACAAATACCAAGTGAAACAGTGTTTTGAAAACTACTACAAACATAAGTAAAATTTCACTGTAATAAGCTTCCTACAGCAACTGAGTAGTTTTCTGTATTTTGTCTAAAAGCATATGCATTGCTAAAAACTGCCTTAGTGTTTAAGACCTAGATCTATTCTTCCTATAAACCCCTGGGTATTTATTTGAACCAGTGACTGGTTTATGGGTTTTTCCTTTGTGATTTACATTTATGGTAGTAGGGGAGGTTAAGGAGAAAATGTTAACATGCCACATTTGTTTTACAAGCCAAAGGTACCTGTTGGAAATGGGCAAAAATCACCTTTTTTCTTTTTGTGGGGGGGGGCCATTTGTGCCTAAACCTCATGTACCTCAGGCAACATCTCATTCATCTCCCATCCCTGATGCTTTCTTTAGAAAATGAACCCTGTATGATAAACAGTATAACCTTTAGTCTTTTAGTAACTATTAAATGGATCAGCACTGCAAAACACCTTTCTACATGGCCCATCTGTGTGAGAAACTCCTCTAACAAGATAACAAAAGCCTGCTTTTATAGACTCCTAAGGAACAGACTAGTGTTACTATGAAGTTATTTCTTCTCACAGATTATACTCATAAAACATGGCCTGAAGAGAACACAGTGAGGAGCTGTGAGTTCCACTTTACCTGTTCTGGTTCAAGGGCTATCTGAGTTTTAAACTTCTGAAAAATTGTATCTTCCCTGGATTCATGTTTTGCCATGGAATCCAGTTCTTCCTCAAGTGCTTCACCTGAAAAATCAATGTAACTATTATGAAAACAGGAGTAATCCCCACAACTTGTCAATTCACACCTGGAGAGGGGACCCCCTTTTAATCAGATAGCTTTCTCTATTTATTCGCTCATTCAAGTTGGACCATCTGAATTTCCAGGTACTCCATGCAGCTCTATTATATGGGCTTCCATTTAGTGCATTTCCTTAAAGCTTCAAAATAACAGAATGGTCAAGGGCTTAGGACTGCCCAGCACATCACGGGACACCCAACAAATGTGAGCCCTTCTTATCATTAGTATCCTCAGCTGGTAGGCTCACTCACTCAGTCATCAAATGTTCATTTCCAGCCCATTTCTGGCCTGGTGCAGTGGCTCACGCCTGTAATCCCAGTACTTTGGGAGGCTGATGTGGGCACATCACCTGAGGTCAGGAGTTCAAGACCAGCCTGGTCAACATGGTGAAACCCCGTCTCTACTAAAAATATAAAAACTAGCCAGGCGTGGTGGTAGGTGCCTGTAATCCCAGCTACTCGGAAGGCTGAGGCAGGAGAGTCGCTTGAACCCAGGAGACAGAGGTTGCAGTGAACCGAGATGGTGCCACTACACTCCAGCCTAGGCGACAGAGTGAGACTCTGTCCTAAAAAAAAAAAAAAAATGTTCATTTCCTTCTCCACATTTCTTCCTGGGATTACAGCCACCCTGAGCCACTGCTGTCCCCAACAGACCCATGTCTCTAAGTATAACCATTAGTCTTTGTAATGTACATTAAAATAGAACTGATATACCTTGAGTAAGAGAAGCTAAAGTAACTGATGAAACTGGGAAGACACTGATGGTGTTCACTTGCACCATCAGGTCTGATGGAGGAAGTGTAGGATGCCTTCAGATTGATGTTCCATCAATTATACGAGGAAAGTTCCAGTGTAATCATTAGGACACTGTAAACGCTGTTCCCTCAGGCCCTACTGCTTCCTGCCAAACTCTTTCATCTAGGAACTCAAATTCAAGTCTCAGGTAAAACACAGCTACCTCCAGGAAGCATTTTTCTTTTTAATTCTCCTTTTATTTTGGAACATTTTGAACATACACAAAAGTGGAAATACTATAATGAACCGCCATGTACCATTAATCAGCTTCAACACTTATCAAGTCCAGTGTTTCCTTTCTCTGCCACTTCCAACTCCATCATTACTCTGAAGTAAATCCCACACATACCACTTTATTCATAATTTATGTGCCCCTAGAACTCAAACTCTTTCCTTTTATTTACCAATTTGAAAATAAGTCTGTTCCTAAGTATCCTACAAAGATGATTACTGAGTTTTTTAAAAGTATCATTTTGAACCCGTTAAACATATCTGATGCAGTTAGTGTTCTTGTAGATGTTCAAACTGTCCATCTTTTGCCAGCAGGAGCCTTTTCATGTTGCTTGAGTTCTGACATGGCCCTAGTAATCCTTCCTGGCATCCTTAATCTTTGATATGACCACGTTCCCACATTATATGAACATTTCCTGACCCAGTTCTGGAACCAACCACCTCTCCAAAGAGCCTGGAGTTCCTTTTAGAGAGAAATGGTACATAGACACAATCAACATTATCTTCCTCCTACACCCAGCACCTCAGTTTTCAGTAACACCAACATAATTACTCATTTCCTTTATCCCCCCAATATACACACAACCATCTCAAAATAAGAGCAACAGTTTATTAATAACATGTTTATTGAAAATACTAACACTGTTACGTTCTTTTCATTCTCAGGGTATATTCCACTAGAGATGTACTGTCCTATGTGTTGAAGTCACCTAGAAGAGTTCTTAGTGTGGTTATATGACTACATCAAGAGTTTTTTACTTGTGATGATTAGGGACTGCTTTTTAACTTACCTTACTTCATAATCTTAAAATACACAGTTCCACAGTCACATTTATACTAATAAGGCATATTTGAAGTCCAGCTTTCATCCTTGATCCTCCTACTCTAGGCTCTGCCTTCTCCTAAAGGTAAGCATTTTCATGATCGTTTTTATCGTACAGGTATGAACACACGTGTGGTCCCTTCCAGGCAGTCTTCAGTGATGTCACATGTGTTCTGATGGCACCAGTATTATACTCTTATCAGTCATTACATGGAATGTAACTTCCCCAAGTATTATTTGGGATCCTCCATGAGACTGTGAGCATCTGACCACTGGAGTGTTGCTTCCCATTATATCCCTATTATCAAGCACAAGGTCAGGCACAGAGTAAGACTCAAACATGTTTTGGAATGTAGGACTGGTATTAACTACAAACCAGTAAGCTAATGTTTTCATTTTGAGTCTATAAATCTAATTTTGTGGTGGTTTTGTGTATGGCTCAAGGCTCAAATTGTAAAATTTAACATTATGTGACCAAAGCAAGTTATACCCAGAACCTCAATTTCCTCACCTTCAAAATGGGGCAGTTTCTGACTTATTGGTCTGCTGTCAGGATTTTAATGAGCTCATGCACAAACAGTATGTAAGGTAAGTGCTGGATAAATGTTGGCTACTATAATAAAATAAACCTCTAAGATACTTGGTCAGCACAAGTACTACCCGAGTATGCACTGTAAGTAAACTGACAAAATTGTGTATCTAAAACTGGCCAGATGAAAGAGAAACTTTTAAGGGGCCCTTCCGCATGCCCGACACTGTGCTAGGCACTCACACTATCCCAACCTGAGAAACAGATCTGGGACCCAGAGGAACTTACCAAGCTTCCAGCGTCTTGTGCAGCCCTATTTATGTGACCATCTGGATACCCACCCTTGTCTTTACGGGGAGCGGAACACACCTCATAGGTGTCAGAAAACACAGTCCGGGAAGTATATTTTCAGCTGAGGTACCTCTCTTCTAGACACGCTGAGCTTTCTTCCAAGCATTATGTTTAACCACTTAATGGATGAAGTCCTCAAACTGCTTACCCATGCTCCCTGTAATCTCTGAGTAATCTTCCTTTTCCACAACCTCAGGCATAATCTCCTCTTCTGTTTCTATTACAATTTCAAATTCTGGAAAAAGGAAGTTGTGGTCTGGAATTATATGGTCGAAATGATCTGAAACGAAAGGGACAGCACTATTAGTAATCATTTAGTTTTGAAGACAGTTTAATAATTGGCTGTCTCTAAAGTACTATATTCCCTATAGTTCTGGCATTTTAGATAAAGGGTCATAAATTAAATGCCTATATGGTGACATTACCCAGTGATTCAGACTTTACAGCCTCTTTTTTACAAAGGTGTTCCACGTATGAAAAATTTTGAAGTACTATACCTTCCCTAATTTTAACTTTAAAGTTATCCTGGAAATATTTGGGTTGACAAAGGCGATGAAAGTGAACTGAGATTTTTAAAAAAAGATTACTCACCTGGTTGTGCACAAGTCTGCTTATGTCCCAATCTCCAGTCTAGGGTCTGATGCTCCTTGCTGCAGTAATATGCTTTGTGGCATCTGGAGCACGTTTTGGGGCCTAAACAGCCACAAACCCTGCAGAGATGAGCACCAGACTTAAGCTGGAGACACACTGATTCTCCTGTTTCTGGGGGAGGATTCTCAGAAGGTGGCTCATATGAGTAAAAATCGTTTTTCCTGGGTAGCTGATTCCTAAAAACTAAAAGAGAATGCAGAGAAAAGTTGTATCTTCAAACAAAACAGCAATTCAAATATTTCATCCTCTACACATAAAACTGAAAATACTTTTTTAAAAAATGAAAGTTTTTGCTTTCAGGAATAAGCTTTTAAAATCCCGAAACTAGATTTCGTCTGGTACACGCAATTGAGTTGCCTCCTGGAGCTAGTCTGAGTTAATCAAGAACGACTGCCAAAAATACGAAAAAGCTACTGGGACCCATCTTTCCAAGACAATTTCTATTATCTGAATAGCACCATACCTAGCACCCACTGATTAAAAGCTGGGGGCTACCGATGCGCATGGGCAGTTAGAAGCTTGTGTAGTAAAAATGAGGACATCCTGGAAGGCCCCGGGAGAAGGTGCTCCTGGGGAAGCGCGGGGGAGGGAGCTCGAGGATGGGGCGGCAGCGGTGCTTTCCGCCGTCTCCCTCCTGGCTCCCGGAATTAACGCGCACGCGTGGGAGGCATGGCCCCGTCTAGACCCCGTCTGGCGGCTCACCTCGCAGGCCGGCACAGCACGGCGGCTCGCGGCAGCAGAAGAGGAAGATGCCACGGTGGAAGGCGTCAGCGCGGCCGGGCAGCGGCGCGTACACCTGCAGCAGGAAGGAGAGCGGGCGGCCGCACAGCGCGCAAGCCAGGGCCCGGGGCCCGGGCAGCCCGGCCGCGCCCAGCCATGCCGGCCGCCCGCCCACCTTGCTGGGGAACTGCTCGCTGCGCAGTCGCCAGGCCGGCGCTGACTCGGCGAAGCCCAGCTCTACAGGTCTGGCCGCGGCGGCAGCCATGCGGGGCGCGAGCTGGCGTGAGGGGCGGGGCTGGCGTGAGGGGCGGGGCTGGCGTGAGGGGCGGGGCTGGCGTGAGGGGCGGGGCTGGCGTGAGGGGCGTGGAGCGCAGCCCACAGCCGGGCCGGTAGGCGGAAGTCGGGCGCGGGGCCGGAAGGCAAGAGGCGGTCACTTTCCGGAGGGCAGGAGGCGGGAACGCGCCTAACGAGAGCGGCTGCAGGACCCAAGCGAGGGAGCGGGGCAAGGAAACCTCCCAGCGTTAGCCCCGCCCCTGGCGCCTCTGCTTCCGAGGCGCTTACCTGGTTCCTCCGGGTGCTCAGGGATGGTTCTGGTCTTTGGAAGAGTCGCAGCTGGTGAGGGCGCCCCCCTCACCTCTGCTCATGTCCTGCTGTGGACCTGCGGGTGACCGCCAGCCAGGCAGAGCCCTCCCTCAAACCTTGCCTGCTGGTGTCCTCAGGATGTGGGAAACCTGTGCGCTGGCCAAGTGTTACCCAGGAGTAGGCAGTGAAAGATAAATGAAGGTTGAACAGGTAAAGTGAGGACCGTACAGTGGAAAGCGAGAATCCTGTGTGCCCTGAAGGTAATGAAGAAACCTCTGCAAAAGAGTCTTTTCTGTCAGTCTTGAGGTCTCTGTTTTAACGTTAATGCTGGTTTGCTGTGCCTGAATTCCAAGGGAGGCGTGTATTATGAGGCATGGCCAACCCCCACGCGTCATTGCCTGAACTGGTTTTTCAGGTTAACTTAAGAATGCCCTTGGGCAAGCAGAGGGTCCATCAGTAGGTTGGAGGGTTTCGAATTTTACTGTTGGTTTGCAGAGGTCTGAAAGAAACATGCACCAGCTGTTCTCCCTGAGGACTTCTACCTGTGAGGTCTCATTTACATAACAAGACCGTGGTTGTCAGCCAGGTCTCCCACTCCCCTAACCTGTTATGCCACAATCCAAACCCCCATTCTGTAACCTCAAGATGGTATATAAGCTTCTGAACCCCATTTGGGGCTTCAGCAAAATCACTCTAGTTCTCCCCCATGTGCATGTCAATAAATTTGTATGCCCTTTCTCCAATTAATCTGCCTTTTGTCAGTTGACTTTTCAGTGAACCTTCAGAGAACAAAAAGGAAGCTTTCCATTGGCTACTACAGTGGCTTTAATGGAAGTCAAGTCATCAACAACATTTATTTTTGACAAAATCACAGTTTAATTGGCAGTATATTTGTTTTCTTTTTGTTTTATTTGAGATGGAGTCTCGCTCTGTCGCCCAGGCTAGAGAGCAATGGCGCGATCTCGGCTCACTGCAGCCTCCGCCTCCCCGGTTCAAGCATTCGCCTGCCTCAGCCTCCCGAGCAGTTGAGTAGTAGTATATTTGTAATGGTACATAAAATAATGTCTGTTTTTAAATAAACATTTACATTGTGAACGAAAAGTTATCTCAACTCTCCATCAATTTTTTTTTTTCTTTTTTGAGATGGCATCTTGCTCTGTCACCCAGGCTGGAGTGCAGTGGCTGCAACCTCTGCCTCCCGGGCAAGTGATCCTCTTGCCTCAGCCTCCTGAGCAGCTGGAGTTATAGGTGTGTGCCACCACACCCAGCTAATTTTTGTATCTTTGGTAGAGACAGGGTTTCGCCATGTTGGCCAGGCTTGTCTCGAATTCCCGACCTCAGGTGATCTGCCCGCCTCAGCTTCCCAAAGTACTGGGATTATAGGCATGAGCCACCGCATCCGGCATCCATCAGTTTAGAAAGTTTATTTCACCAAGGTTAAGGTTGCGCCCATGGCAGCCTCAGAAGGCCCTGACAACATGTGCCCTAGGTGATCAGGGTACAGTTTGCTTTTGTACATGTTAGGGAGACATGAGACATCAATCAGTATGTGTAATATGTACTTTAGTCAGGTAAAGCTGAACTTGAGGCAAAGGCTTCCAGGTCATGAGTAGATAAGAGGCAAAAGATTGCATTCTTTTGAGTCCTTGATCAGCCTTCCACTGAATGCACAATTTAGTCTGGCTTAGTGAATCATCATTTTTACATAAACAGTAGGGGAGGGGAAACAATCAGATATGCATTTGTCTCAGGTGCACCCTAGAGGGATAACTTTTGAGTTCTGTCCGTCCTTTTTCCACAAGGAATTTCCTTGTATGCAAATTTTAAGGGAGGTATGTAGCCTCTTATCTTGGTAGCTATATCTTATTTAGGAATAGAATGGGAGGCAGGTTTGTCTGACATAGTTCCCAGCTTGACTTTACCCTTTTAAGGGAGGAGATCACCCCTCATATTGTCTTATGCCCAGTTTCTGCCTCCAAAGAAAGAAGAAGTAAAAGCTAAAAGGCAGAAATGAAATCCACAAGCAGACAGCCGAACGCCACACCCTGGGCCTGGTAGTCAAAGATCGACCCCTGACCTAATCAGTTATGTTATCTATAGATTACAGACATTGTATAGAAAAGCACTGTGAAAATTCCTATCCTATTTTGCTCCAATTTAATTACCAGTGCCTGCAGCCCCCAGTCACGTATCCCCTGCTTGCTCAATCGATCACGACCCTGTCATGTGCACCCCCTTAGAGTCATGAACCCTTAAGAGGGACAGGAATTGCTCACTTGGGGAGCTCACCTCTTGAGACAGGAGTCTTGCCAATGCGCCCAGCCAAATAAACCCCTTTCTTCTTTAACTCGGTGTCTGAGGAGTTTTGTCTGCGACTTGTGGAACATCCCTGTGGGGGACTCCGACCAGCCCGAGTGACGTGGATCCTGAGAGCGCTCCCAAGTAGGCATTTGCCCCGGTGGGACACCTCGCCAGAGCAGTGTGTGGCAGGCCCCCATGGAGAATCAACGCAGGAGCTGAACACCGGGAAGGAACGGGCACTTGGAGGCTGGACATCTAAAACTTGGTAAGACTAGTCTTTGAAACTTGCCCCCTCTGTTTGAGTGGAAGCATGGCCTGATCACCCATGGCGTGCCTTTATTGGCACTTTGGTTTTGGTTTTGGTTCTGACTTGGTTTGAATTGCTTGACAGGATTGGTCTTGGGAACTTGCCCACTCCATTTGAGTGGAAGCGTGGCCTGATCACCCTTCGTGTGCCTGTACCGGCACTTTGGTTTTTGTTTTTGACTTGACTTTGATTGCTTGATACTTTGGTTTTGGTTTTGACCTGGCTTGGATTTCTGGGTACTCTGATTTTGGTTTTGGTTTTAGTTTGGTACAAACTGCAAAAGTGTGTGTGTGCCCTTTTTACCCATTCTTTGTTTTGTGGTGTGCGTGTGGTGTGAGCATGGTGGTTTGTCTCAAAGAAGCATAGGTCAGGCACAAATAAGCCCACGCTACTAGGAACTATATTGAAAAATGTCAAGAAAGAATTTAAAGGAGACTATGGAGTACTATGACTCTAGGAAAACTTAAAACTTTGTGTAAGATAGACTGGCCAGCATTAGAAATAGGTTGGCCATTGTAAGGAAGCCTGGAGAGGTCCTTTGTTTCAAAGGTATGGCACAAGGTAACCTGTAAGCCAGGGAACCCAGAGCAGTTCCTGTACATAGACACTTGGTTACAGCTGGTTTTAGATCCCCTGCCCCCAACACACAGTGGTTGAGAGAACAGCAGCATAAGCGGCTGGCAGAGGCAAGGAAAGACCAGCAGAGAGAGGAAAACAAAAAGAGAGGAAAAAAGGCAAAGAGAGAGAGGAAGAGACAGAAAGGAAGAGACAGACAAAGAGGGAGTCAAAGAGAGAGAGAGAGAGAGAAAGAGGCAGAGAGAGAGAACAGATAGAAGCAAAAGGAAAGTCAAAGAGAGAGATATACAAGTAGTTAAAAAGAAAGTGTACCCTATTCCTTTAAAAGCTAAGGTAAATTTAAAACCTATAATTGATAATTGAAGGTATTCTCCATAACCTTATAACACTCCAGTACCACTTTGTTGTCAGTGTAAACAAGGACTTATCCTGAAAGCACTGAGGCCTTCCTATCAAAAATCCTTAACCCGTTAACCAACAGATGGCCCAAATACATTCAATCTGTAGCAGCAACTGCTTTGCTAACAAAAAAAAAAGTAAAAAAAAACCAAACAAACTCTTAGAGGAAACCTCATTGTGAGCACAAGTCACCAGTTCAGAAGAATCCTAAGGAAAAAAAAGAAAGGACGGACTCATCACACCCGAGTCAAGAAAGCGCCATGACCTCCAGAGTCATGGGCCATAGTCCCAGTGGAAAACCCTACCAAATTAAAGCTAAGAAAAATTTAACTCTTTTCATCTATTCTATTACTCTTTTTTCTTTCCTCATTCTATTGCTGACCATCTAGTTATTAACATAGCCAAGTCAATTTCACCTCTAACTCTTGCATTTAATGCTTGCTTTGTTATACTCTGTGAGGACTTGCCAAGTCAAAGACAGCTTTCTACTTCAGAAAAGTACTTCTGTCCCTCCTGACTCTCCTCAGACTGGGCATTAGTAAACTGGGACCATTTAGTCCAGGGAGATTTCGATAAAGACCCCTGTGCCAACCAGGAGTGTTGCTCCCCGATGTAGAGCTTTCATGCCACAGTTGGTCCAACATTCTGTGGACCACTAAAGAGCAAGGATGGACTGCCCCAACCAGTTTTTGTGATTTCCTAAAACCATACATTCATTTTACTAGAGGATCATAGAATTTAAAGACTTAAAACAAACTTTAGCAATTAAGACTGGATACCAAGATGCTATCTCGCTTTGGGACAACTCAGGACCAAATCCACAGTGAGCGAAATCCTTCCTGTTTGCAGCCCTGAATCTTGAGGGTCACAGACTAGTTTGAAGGGCGCAGTGTGGAAAACTGGAAACCAAAAGACCCTCTAAATCCTATGCGCTGAGGTTCTCCCAACCCAAGGTGAGATGGCTGCAGTGCGAGGTCCATACTGCAGCCTCAGAACACAAAGGCATTCTTCATAATGCAGTCATGTCATCTGAAATACGAATACAACACCTGCAGTACTCATGTACCAAACATCTGTAATGCTGGCACACTACCTAAAAACGAAAATGTTATAAATCCTCACTCCCCATGCAAGCTGCAACCCAATACAGTGCTCACAATAATGAACACTGACATAATCAACACAAATGTAGCCACTAGCATATGGTTAGGGTTGCTATCAGGGTTAGTGGTTACAGTTAGGGGTTGGGGTTACGATTGGGGTTAGGGTTAGATTTGGGGTTAGGATTAGGGTTGGAGTTGGGATTAGGGTTATGGTTAGGGTTTAGGGTTATGACTAGGGCTAGTCATAACCTGGAGTGGTCAGAATGCATTCATAAAAACTGAAATGAAAATATTTGGAGAACAGCATCAATGACTATCGTGAATGCCAACATGCATCCCTAACAACCCTGTGCTGTTACTCTCCAAACTTTTTATGTCTTGCAAAGTATTAAAACTTCCTATCTGAAGCCATACCACTCAGAGGGACTGCAAAATACATAATGACATCTCCTTTAGGATGTCCTTAGAGAATTCATGGAAAAGAAATTAAATAATTTAAAAAGTGCTTTTGGGTACAGCTATTTAGCAGTAGGGGGTAAGATTAGAGATAGATTGTAAAGATAATAGTAGGGTTAGGGTTAGGATTAGGGTCTGGGTCAGAGTCAGGGCCAGAAGTATGGTTAGAGGTGGGGTCATGGTCAGGGTCAAGATCAGAGTCAGGGTCAAAGTCAGGGTCAGAATTAGGGACCAGGGTAGGGATCAGGGTTTAGGGTCAGGGTCAAAGTCTAGAGACAGGATTGGGGTTAGGATTAGAACCAGAGATTTGTTCTCCTCAGGACCCACCAGAGAAGAGGCCATGGCTTTGGAGCACCTGGTAGTGTGTCCACAGTGAAGACCAGAGTTTCATTGTCCTCAAGACTGACCTGGGGAGACGTGGCTGCGGGCCAGTGAGGAAGGTGAGGCAAAAGCTTCCTGTCTGCTCCCTGGGTGCTAAAGGGAGCTCTGCCATGGGCTTTACTTCACACTTTATATCCTGCAAGTCTTGTTTTACAAAAGCATCCCTTCCTCGAGGCTTTGGTTGCTCATCATCACAGCGTGTCATAACATATGGTACGATTTGGGTTTGCTTCAGCGGGGAGATCTTGGTACAGAGAAAGGAGCAATGCTTAGAGCCACCTCAGGACAGTTGGGATGAAAGCTGGGGATGGGTGGAGGCTGGAGGAAACATGTGCACCCCCTGTAAACACTTTTATTCATGCTTTCATTACTCATTTTTCTTACAGAGTTAAAGTAGTAAAAATGGTATTGAAAATTTGAAAAGTAGGCATATTAAAACTTGCAACATTATTTAAGTTTAAATATATTATTTGTACCTCATCAACATTTTTTATTTTGTTGAGAAAGTCTAAGGTTAATTGGCAGCATATTTTAATAGTAGATAGAATAATATCTGTTTTATAAACATTGACATCCTACATTACAGGTGTGAGCCGTGAAAGTCTGAGACAGGTCTCAGATTTTTTAGAAAGTTTATTTTGCCAAGTTTGAGGATGCGCCCCTGATGCCTCTGCAGGAGGTCCCGACAACACGGACCCAAAGTGGTCGGGGCCTAGCTTGGTTTTACACACTTTAGGGAGACGTGAGACATCGATCAGTATGTGAAAGATGTACCTTGGTTCAGTCCAGGAAGGTGAGACAACTTGAAGAGAAGGCCAGACAGGGAGCTTCCAGGTCATAGGTAGGTAAGACACAAATGGTTTCATTCTTTTGAGTTGCCGGTTACCCTCTCCCGATGAGGCACTCAGATACACATTTCTCTTGGTGAGCAGACGGGTGACTTTGGACAGAATGGGAGGCGGGTTTGCCCTCAGCAGCCCCAGCTTGACTTTTCCCTTTAGCTTAGTGATTTTGGGTCCCCAAAGTTGATTTTCCTTTCACAAAGTCTAACATGTTTTCCTATGAGCATTGAGTATTCATTGTGTATTTTATTACACAAGGCACGGATTTTAAAAAAATCATCAACTTCATGACTAGCTCTATAGACATAACAACATAGAGGTTCAACTAAATTTGGAAACATTCCAGAGTTTTGGTTTCTAATACTTCTTTGTGATTCTTTAAAAGGTAAAGTATTTTTTTTTCCGTAAGGTATAGTAACATCTAAAATCACCCGTAGAATGTCCTTTCATTTTTTTTCTCTAGTTTCCCCGTTTTCTGCAAAGCCTCATTGAGGAAATTGACTTTTAGTATCCTTTTACACGCTTCTGTTTTAGAAATCTTTGTGGTAAAACATTGAATATTCATGGTCACAAGTTCTGTTCACATTCTTTCTTTCTTTGAATATTTTTTTCCCCAGTGGCCAATATTTGATTCTGTTGTATTATGGCTAAAAAGTAGGCATGGAACAAAATAAAGACAAGAAGTCTTTGGAAGAAGTGATCCAGTCACAATGAATCAATTTGCCATTGGAACATATTTTTACAAAGTCACTCTTTTGAAAATATTTAGTCATGAATTGAAACAGAGTCTGGTAGGTTATTTTTTTTCCTGGTCTAAGGTGAACAGCATTTTAGAGAATGAACCCAGGACACAACCACAGCACAAGAAAAAAATATGATAAATAAGTTTACATGTATGCGTTACCACTGTAACAGAAAACATGTAAAGAACATTTATTTTGATTTATATATCAGTCTGTATTGTTTAATTTTTTTGTGTCATAAATGCTCTTATTTAAAAAACAGGACTAGTTAACAGTGTCAATTACTAGCAGTTCATGGTATAAATAATTAAACAAGGAAGTGTTAGAAAAATATAACAATGTTTCAAATACAGTTATATTTTATAGCAGTTTTTGACTTACACAGAAATTGCAAAAAAGAAAAATTGCAGAGATTTCCATTGTAGCTTCAACCTACTTCTCTTATTAACATCTTCTGTCAGTGTGTCTCACATGCTTATTAATATCTTATATAATGTATCACAGTTAATGAACAAATACTGATAGACTATTATTAACTAAAATTCATATTTCATTTGGATTCTCTTAGTTCCATCTTACCCTGACCCATCCAGGATCCTGTATGACATGTAGTTATCACGTAGGTGGCTCCTGGATGTGACAGCGTGTCTGGCTTTCCATCTCATGATGACCTTGACAGTATTGAGGAGGATTGGTCAGGAATTTTGTAGAATGTCCCCCATTGTAATTAAACATGGAATTTTTCTTATAATTAGACTGGGGTTCTGGGTCTGGAAGTAGATCACAGAGGTGAAGTGCTACTCTTGTCTCTTCATTTTCTCAAGGTGAACTGTCGCCTTTGATGTTCACTTGGATTGTTCAGCAGAGCTAGTTTGTCAGGTTTCTCCACTGTGATGTTATTTTTCCTCCTTGTCCATACTGCACGTGTTCTTTCGGAACAAGTCACTATGCGGAGCCCACACTTACAGAGTGAGGAGCTCCACCTTCTTGATGGCTGACTGTCTACCTCAATTATTTGGAATTCTTTTGCAAAGGAGATTTCTATTCAACTCCATTTGCTTATTCACCTATGTATACAAACACAGACACCTAGATAATTACTTAAAGCTTTAGTTACTATTCAGCACTACAGCATTATGCTGCACAATTCATTCCTGTGTTAGTCATGGGTAGCTCTTTTTATTGGCTCCTATTTTTCTTTCAATAAAAGAATTAATTTTTATTTATTTTTATTACATATTAATTTTTTTTTGTACATACTTACTTTCTGATACTTCAAGATTATCTGGCTCATATATTTACTGTCCCAGTTCTAGTACCAGACATTTCTTCAAAGAGCCTGATTCCTTTGAGAATGGTAGGAAAACTTACATCTGACTGCTGAATGAGCACATTATATCTTGTCCGTCCTTAGCAATGCTAGGAAGTATATGTGTGCATCTAACAGACCTATACACCCCTAATTATAAAGGTTTCTGTGTGGAACTGTATGTATCTATATTAAACCAAATGTAAGTTTATGTTAATGTCTCCACCTCTGATCTACTATCACATGAATCATTCTAGCCTTCTCCCCTTGCTAATTTGTAATCTCCCACTTCAACAGTGAGAGACCTGGTTCCTACCATCTGCAAGTTATGTAAGTCATTGTTTTATTCCAGATAAGGATACTGTGGTTTTACAATTGTTCACAATTACTCCTGTTGGAAAGAACTTTATAAAATGGAATCCAGTGATGAAATGTAGTTCATTTGCCTTCAGCCTACAGAGTCTATTCATTTTTGAAGTGACTTAGGTCAACACCATTTTCCCTACACCTTCAGTGAGTTTTTTCATACCTTTGTGTCTTAGTCCACTTTGTGCTTCTGTAAGAGAATACCTGAGGCTGGGTAATTTATAAGTAAAAAAGGTCCATTTGGCTCACAATATTGGTGGCTGGAGTGCCCGAGATTAGGCAGTTGCATCTGGTGGGGCCTCAGTCTTTTTCACCTCATGGTGGAAAGTGGAAGGGGAGCAAGGGGTACACCAGAGATCACATAGCAAGAGCGACAGCAGGAGGGAAGCCAAGGAGCCCAGACTCTTGTTAACTCCTACTCCTGCAGGAATTAATCCATTCCTGTGAGAGCAGAACTCACTCATCCCCATGGAGGACATTAACCTATTCACGAGGGATCCGTCCTCATGACCCAAACACCTTTCACTGGGCCCCACCGCCCCACACTGCCACACTGGGGGTCAAATTTCAACACGAGTTTTTGCAGGGACAAACCACATCCAAACCATAGTAATTTGTAGCATAGTTAATTTCTTTTTCACACGATGTATTCTGTGTTGTGATACTCCACATCCTGAATAATTTTATTTAATTTGAATAGAGTTTGGCATACCCGTTTGGCTGTAAAATTCTGCATGTTTTGACAAATGTGTAGTGGCAGGTACCCACTATTAAAGTATCATATGGAATGCTTCAAACCCCCACCCCATGGAACCAATGGCTTCCCATCTGTGTAGTTTGCCTTCTCCAGAATCTCATTAAATGAAGTCACACTGTGTATATTCTCCTCAGACTGTCTTCTTCCACTTAGCAATGTGCATGCAAGATTCACTAATGTCTTTGTGTGAGTTGGTAGCTTGTTCCTTTCTACGGCTAAATAGTATTCCATTGCATGAATGTACCACAATTTGGTTATGCATTTGGGGAGCAAAACCTTCCTCTTCTAACTTTGTTCCAGGGTTGGAGACCTTCAAATTAACTGACAATAGATACATTAATAGGAGAGACAATATTTGGCTTCTTATTCCACAAGTATCATTGTAGGACAAAATTCATCAGATGGCAGGATCCAGTTTACAAACAGGTAAAACTAGCCCAAAGACAAGAAACTAGACTAGAATCTGATAACCCACAAAGGCTATAGATTTCCTTTTATTTATTTAAATTTTTTATTATACTTTAAGTTCTAGGGTACATGTGCACAACGTGCAGGTTTGTTACATAGTTATACATATGCCATGTTGGTTTGCTGCACCTATCTACTCATCATTTACGTTACGTATAGTTTTCCTCAAAAAAGGTTTTTTTGAGACAGGGTCTGGCTCTGTTTCCCAGGCTGGAGTGCAAAGGTGCAATCTCAGCTCACTGCAACCTCTACCTCCTGGGTGCAAGCGATCCTCCCTCCTCAGCCTCCTGATTAGCTGGGACTACAGGCACATGCCATCATGCCCATCTAATTTTTCTATTTTTAGTAGATACGAGGTTTCACCATGTTGCCCAGGCTGGTCTTGAACTCCTGGCCTCCCAAAGTGCTGGAATTATAGGCATGTGCCACCACGCCCGTCCAACTTATAGTTTTCCATTGAAATATAAAATTTATCTCCGTAGTAACCATCATTTTTGATCATAGATAATCAAAGTAAGATTATTCTTGTTTCAAAAATAAGTCTAGCCTTGTTAGATTTTGCCTGATCATTTATGTAAGTGCAGCAAGAACAAGAGTTGACCACATAGGTGCTTTCAAGCTTCCTTGCTGCAAATTTTCATACAGAATCTCAGATTGGACTTTTAAAGGCCTTATTGAGGCTAAAAGCCAAGCCAAGAACATACTATCAAATTTCAGCTGCAGTCCTTATAGCTTTGTGTGAATTCCTCTCTGCTTGAGGCCCTCAAAATAGCCCCAAATTCCTAGGCCTACAAGGAAATGACCTTCCTTACTAATCTGTAAGGCTGTGAACCCCATAATCTAGGTATCAGACTGGCTTTTCTCAGAGTGCTTTGTAAGCATTGACTCCATAAAATTCAACCTTAGTTCCTTAAAATTGCTGGTCAAAACTAGTCTGAGGTACACTTCCTAAATATGATATTTCAGTAAAAGCTTTGATAATATAACCAAACTTTCCAATTATGTCCTGTTACAAGGTGAACAGATTCTTACTGGACTTTTGCTAACAACTATATTGTCATGAAAGTAAGAGTATTCAGTAAGAATTTCAAAATTCTAGAGAAATCAGGTGGGGAAAAAAAGATAAATGCTCCATTTCTGTTTACAAAAGCATAATCTACT